CCCTGAGTGTGATCTTCTCTTGAGCTGCCACCTCCCAATGGGCGTATCCTTTTAGACAGTGAGTCACCCGCGTCGCCAACTCTTCTCGCGACCGGCAGCTGCCTTCCACCTCTGCTAGCTGCATTTCCGCATCTGCGCATTGCGCCCTCAAATCCGCGCACTCGGATTGCAAGTTGCGCAACAACTCCTCATCATCCTTGCGTGTACTTTGACTTTCTTCTAATGCGCGCTTCTGGCGCGCAAGCTCCTCTGTTAAGATGCGGTTTTGTCTCCGCTCTTCTTGCAATTCCGACTCGATCTTTGCCCGCATTAGCTCGGCATCCGCCTGGGCTTTCGTCGCCGCATCCTCCCTCTGTTGTTGCAGGGTTTGGTGTAGCCTCTGCGTGATCGCCAGGTGCTGTCGGAGGGCAGTATACCTATCCTGCAATGTTTGGCACCTAGAGGCCCAAGTGGCCACCTTGCTCCTCGTCTTGCGCTTGACAGTCTCCACGTAAGACTGCGGTTTTCCAGAACCCGAGTACTTGGATGTCTTGCGATCCAAATATCGCAGGAGTGGAACTATCTGCTCGCACAATACCCCTGTTGGCGTCTTCTGCACAGAGTCCGCTTCTTGCTCTTCCGAACTTGTCTCATCCTCCGTTTTGAGGATTTCAGTCGCCACCGAATCTCTTGGTGACTCCCTGGAACTGTGGCGCGCGGCAGCTTCCGCCGCGACTGCCGCTCCACTCCCTGCTAAAATATCCAATGCAGTGGGGGATCCCGCTGCCTTAGCCCCTGTTCCGGCTCGATCTTCGGTTCTCGAAGGGATCGGCGCCGCAGTGACTCTTGTCACCTTTGCACCGCCCGCTTCTGCTGCCTGCTCTTCCGGCGCGATCTGCGCGGAAGGTGTCTTCGCCGGAGGTGCGTCCGCCGAAGGCGCCCGCACAATGGTCGCCGGCTCTATCCGTCTCGCAATCGGCGAATCTGGCCGACTCTCAGTTGACCGACTCGCAGTCGGCCGACTAGCAGTTGTCCGACTGGCAGTCGGATCTACCCTGCGCGTCTTCACTCCACTTGGCCTGCTAGCTGGAGGCGTTTTCCCGGAAGCGCCTTCTGTCGAAGACGACCCTCTGAGGGTTGTTGGCTCGTCAGCCAAACTCCCTTCTGCTTCCGGCCTGCTATCCGATTCAACGCGCTGCTTAGTTGGCCTTCCTTCCGTTGGCCGACTGATAGTCCGCCTGTCTTCTTCAGAAGGCATCGGTGCCTTCTGCGCAGAGGTGTTCGCCGACTTCCCCAGAATCTGCGCGATTATCTCCTCCTGCGTGGGCAGGATACTCCGCCGGAGTATGCCCGGTCTCCTCAGTACTAGTTGGCACTTTGCGTGCCCTATGTTTCGGCCGGCTGTGAGGCTCGTTGGTTGGCCGACTCCGAGTCGGCGCAGCAGGAGCTTCCGGCTGCCTGTCCTCAGGTTTCTCATCCCATTTCCGCTTTCGCGGAGCGCGCTCTTCTGCTGCTCTTGCTGGAGGCGGAGCCGGAGTTGGACTGGCAGGTGCCTCGTCCGGATCCGTGTCCACTTCGGCCTCCCGCAAGTATCTACCTGGATAACTCCGGGTCAGCAGCGGAAACCGTGTCCGCTCTGAATTTGTCAAACATCCCATCGCCCGATAAAACACAATCAGGTAAGGCGAAAGATGATTGAGGGTTCCTCCTCTCTCTTCTTGCGCATGTTGGCGCGTCACCTTCCACAGGAACCGTGCCCAATGAACTGGAGCTCCTGACAACACTAGCTCCACAAATCCTACTTGCCAACCATGCATGTAAGCGGTCTTGGTCGGCTGCAATATCTGCAGCAATGCAGTCGCGACATTTCTCCGCAATCGATCTTTGTAATCCCGTGTCCGGAAACCGTTCTTGGGATGCCTGGCAACTTTGAAAAGATCATTGTAGGAGATTTCTTCCTCCTTGGACACCTTCACGCTATCGGCCTCGAAGAGGAGAAACCCTTCCTCGCCGGCACACCTTCCCAACACCTGCGCCTAGTCACAAATGTCCCACCTCTATGGATGTGGGCGGAATCCGCGCGAGGGCTTGTGTCTCTCCTGCAAATACTCGCGCATCATCTCCGGACATGTCCAGTTCCATCCCCACAGGAGGAAATCGAGCTTCAGCCTTGTTAGCACATCTTGGAATGCGCGCAGACTGATCTGCGGCACTCTGAGTGGAGACACTCGCAGCTGCGGGACCTTCGACATCTTCCTTGCGTTTCCTGCAAACACACAGACGTTCTCCCTTCCGCTCGCTCTCTCACAATCGCCGCTGCGCGTCGGCCGCTCAGACACTGACTGCAATCGCTCTCTCTCCCTTTGCGCGCTCAAGTTCGCTACTCGCAAATTCTCTGCAAGGTCTGTCAAGATCCTCGCGCAACTCGTCTCCGCACTCTCTCCTCTCACTGCAGGTCTCTCCGCCCTTGCACGTAATCTTGGAAGCTGGAAAACTCACAATCAAGAATGAGAGAATGAGACTGGAGAGCAGTCTTTTCTTCTCCGAATTCAAGATCGTCCAACGTTCTTACTGGTTACAATTACGCAGCCGGCTATACGGCCTAACGGTTCTCCCTCGCATGCTCGAATTCACGTCTCCGCACTGCGCGCATTCGCATGCGTGAATGTTGAATTCTCCCGCCGCCATCGTCTTCCGGACTCGAGTTTAGCGCCGTCTTCCGGACTCGAGTTCGCCGCAGTGGAGCGTATACGTCGACTATGTTGTCTTTTCCTAACCTGACCATCGCCGGAGGCGTATCGCCGCTGGCGTATTCCTTCTCCGTCGGCGCCTCGCTGGAGGCGCACATCAAGTCGGCGCGAATTACGCCGGCGCGTATTCGTACCACTTGTTTTGTCCGTTCTGCCCCGCCTATCGCCGACGGCGCATATCCCGCCGGCGCAAATCATGCCAGCGCATCCGCCTATCCGCGCCACGTCGGAGGCGTACATCTGGCCGGCGCTTCTCTTCCGTTGCGCAGCCGCCAAAGGCGCTTCCGCCTCTGAGTTGATTTCCTCCCATGAGCGCGTGGTTCCGCCGAAGGCGCATCGCCGAAGGCGTACGGAAGTCCTTTCCGTCGGTGAACCCTAGCGCGAACGGCGCATGTCCGGATGCGAGTTTTCCGACGCTCATAACTTCTTCGTCCCTGATCCATCTCCGGCGCTCTTAGGCTCGTTAGAACGAGCGTCCCGAGCTCTTTCCAATGCAACCTCAACCAACTGGAACTACCGTGTATCTTGATCGTTATGAAGGTTTCCCTCCCGCGCTAGCGGCGCATCGCCGAAGGCGCACTCACGGTCGGAAGCCTTCAGAGGTCCTTGCCAGCTTCTGACGTCTTTAGCGAGATCTCCTCCGGAGGTGTCTGCGCCTGAAGCGTACCTTCCCTAAACGCTGGAAGCGCGTGAGTAGAGACACCTCAGCAAAGGAGATCTTGCCGAAGGCGCCGAAGACATTTGGCGCTGGTACGTCCAACTTCGTGCTTCTTCGTGACCTCGTGACGATCTCCTCAATCCACTCTATATAACGTACCATTTCCTAACTACAGACACTGCTTCGGTACTTGTTTTCTAAAATTGTTTAAATTCTGCAAAAAAAACAAAAGTGTGTTACCACAATATGCTAGATATTATATGAAAGATTTATAAGATACATATGAAACTCCACATCAAGATTTAGCAAAATCTATTGTCCATGTTAATATGAGGTGTTGAAGCTTATGACATAGATTGCAATGGTTGAAGAAATGACTCATTGAAGATATAATAAGTTGAATATTGTAGAGAATTATTTGAGATTTATGAAAAAAAGTGACTTATGTTTCAATCAAAATTATATTATCATTTTATTTTACATTTTTTATGATGATATAGCTGATAGTTTAGTTAGGAAGAAATGAAAGTAAGCAATATATGAAAATAATGCATCCTCTTGAAGAATCATGAGAGTTGATTGATTTTTCACCTAACTTTTGTTTGGTGAAAAATTAATTTACCCTCATGATTCAACTATTGGCGCTATGAATTGTGATTGATTTTTTCATCAATTATATTTTTGTATTTTAATGTAATCACAATTCATTTGAATCAAGACATCAAATTATATTAATATATAATTTATATGAACATTATTATTATTTATTTGATTTTAATCGTGTATGATAGGATGGTATGATAATACTATTGGATAATCGATATGAGGTATATCTAATAAATACATGTCTACACATGAGAGAGGTTATAACTTACATCAACCAGAACAAGATATTTCATACTTTGACACAATTCAAATATTGAATGTATAAATTTGTTAGCACGACTATACAGATCATAATATATTACTTGAATGAAAAGATTATCTCTCATTTTTATATATTTTAAAGCTCTGACGGCTGTAAGATATTCCGTTTATTTTATTTATTTTAAACAATTATGTTTTCAAATAAATAGTAAGATTGTTGCGAGCAAGAGGCGGATAACGAGGAAGTAAAATCATAAAATAAGATCTTAAGACAAGATAGTGATTCTGATCTCATAATTGAAATAAAATATGAGATCAAGATTTGATGCTAGAATTCGACAAAAATCTCCATTTATTCAAATGCAACAACTTTTAAAGATTTAACGTATAAACACTTGAAAAGAAGCATGTTGTTCACTCTTTGTGAACAAATTGGGAGCAAACAAATGCGTATACAAAAAGTTTGTAAATTGGCACATTCTTATCAGACACGAGGTACCACGATCTGCGGCATTCGGTACAAGAACACATAGGAAGCGGCGAGATTTATCGTCGACGCGCTGACCGTCGCCGGATGGGAAATCACACGACCCACAAGTCCATCCATGTGGGTCGTGTGACTGTAACGAGACCCGGCGGAGTCACTGGACTCTCTCTGAGATGCCGGGGACTCGCATAGTCCCCGTCAACGGTCACAATCTTCCGTTCCCGTCTGGCTTGCTCCCGCCCGCTCTCGCGTTTGAATTGATCGTGAGCTGCCCCGCTCCTCGCGTTCTTGCCCGTCATCGAATCCCTCGAGATTCCCTCGAGAAGGCGCACTTCCCCATCGACGATCGAATCCTCGTTCGTGTCTCGTGCGCTCGTGGTCTCATCAGTCGGTCTGGCCGAGCTGGTTTTGCTTCGTCTGATTTCATTCTTCTCTGTCGTGCTTTCGTGCTTTCTTTCCTTCGTCTGCCCCTCTTGGCTATGATGGTTTCAAGAGCTTGTGAGGCCGCCCATGAAAGAGTTCGGACGTCATTTTTGCTCGTGCTCCTTTGTTGAATGCGTGGGTCGAATGGCGTGCCGGAACATAGCAGGGATGAGTGAATGAAGTGGAGTTGAACTGCGGGGGGGCATGGCGAAGCGCAAAGCTGAAACTCCTCTTCACATTCTGTCGCCGAATGATCGTGGCACTCGAAGAAGCAGTCGCACGACGCCCAGTTCTAGATGGTGCGAGGGTAAAGAGAATGACGTTTCTCGAGGCTCCGACATCTCCCTGAAATCACCGCGAATGAACTCGGCTATACTGCCGGGCGAACTTTCATCGTGCAAGCAGAGCAGGTTAGGACGCAATGCCTGTCCGAATTCAAGCGCCCAAACAGCTCCAAGTAGGGTGGCAAATTCTCTCACTGACTATGACCAGCCTGGACGCGATATTAGCATCTCCGGTAAGAACGATCACAGAGCAGGGCGCCCGCGTGGGTCACAGCTTTCCAAAGGTGTGATTGAGGTTGATAAGACCGGCGGGGGAACAAGTTCTCGGGATCGACACGATGTGGCAGGGGCTGCTTGCGAGCATTCTGGATGCCCAGATGATTTTGATTGTAGTCTCAGTTCTTGGAAGCGAAGTAGGACGACCGCAAGCCAGGAAGCTTCTCGTTGTGATCCAATTTCAGGAAAGAAAGACCGGGCTAACGAGAACAAAAATGTGGTTAGATCCGGAGTTGAGAACGTCGAAATCGGGCACGAGTCGATAAGGAAGGACAGCGGCACTAGTGATAGTAAAGGACAGCAGAGAAGCAAAGAGGACCACTTTGACAACCCATCCACGGGGAAGGAAACGAAAGATGATGTTTTGCCTGTCAAGCCGATGAGTGACCTTGAGGGTCAAGCGGGGATAGATCAGAGAGGAAAGAATCATAGGTGTGCGGAGGATGGATTTCTGGAATCAGCCATAGCTGTGCACCAGTCATCGATTCCGGAAGATTCCGTAGAGACTGAAGGTCAGACACGAACTGGAAGTGCTTCAGGAGAGCAACTTAGGAATCATGAAACGCCTGTGGAATCAGGGAAGGTGGATTCAGAGGACACAAAACATAGCAGGGAGGCGGCTGGAAGAGAACGAATCCACGGAGCTCCTAACGGTACGCTGCAAGGGGATAAGCAGGGGTGTCCTTGTTCCAGAGGAGTAGGTCGTCCATTCGTGGATGCGGAAGCAGCTGCGCAAGTGGTATGCATATGACAGTTTCTTGTTGAGGTTGATGACAGCTGTCTATTGAGTGCAAGATCAAAGGATTCCTCGATTCCTTTTCTCGCTGGAAATGTGTCATGTCGTTTCAGCAGTAAGTACAAAATAGGGAAGATGAGCTCAAATCCTGATGATAAAACACTAAGTGCACCGTGCTACGGAGCATTTAATCTTTAAGCTACAACTCATTATCCTCCTCTTCTTGTGCAGCTGGAGGAGGCGTACAACAAGCTTTACAAAAAGTATCAACGTTCAAAGGTGAAGACCACCCTGATAAGTGAGCAGAATACATGGGGAAGGAAACGATGATCTCAACCGTAAAAGTATATAGAAGAATACCTGAGAAAATTGAGTACTGTACTATTTTCCTCGACTTTGCCTTTCGCTTTCAGATGTAAGTTTATCGTCAGCCACAAGAGGAGTAGAGTTTATCTTGTGAATCTGGTACCAACTCAGAGGCGTCATCATCGAGCTATTATAATTGAATTAGTTTATACTGACCGCAGACGAGGAACTTGGCAGAAGTCGAAGCTCTATACGACGAACAGACGAAAAGATTTGCGGCATTCTCTACAGGTTCCTACCCTTTCCAAACCTTCCCAGTAACTCGCTTGAAACTCCTTCTCATGACAAAACTGGATGCTTGTTGGTTGCAATGATTGTTATCGAAGGTTTCCACTGCATCTTAAATTATCGTCATAAGTCAATATAAATTTTTGTATGACTTCGTGGCTTCCTTTCTGCAGCCGCAGATGCTCTTGTTGGTAAATTGCGCGAAGAAAATAGATTTTTGAATCTTCAACTTCAGGAGACAGGTCTACAAAAATGTATAAACAGGTATTGTAGACAGACTTCATTTATCAATGATACCACCGTCACCTCCAGGTTGAGTATATAAACTTTCAACTAGTTATCATGCGGAACTTTGTACTCTTTGAGACGGAGTAAGATAATCCTTGAACATGAAATGCAATTCCGTTTGTGAGATAAAACAATCGATGTGACTCCATTACAACTGAATTCATGGTGCGGAGATGATGCTCCCGCACCATGAATTTTGGGTAAGTCTAGGAGTAAGGGATCCAGGGTTGCTTAGCCAGCCACTCCCCTTTCCGCAGCAACTTTTTGTCTTAACTATCTGCACTCAGATACATCTAATCTCATGAAGAAAACCATGTAGTACTTCTTCATTTTGACACTCCTTTTTCTTGGAAATTGAAATGGTGATCCCAAAGGTCAAGGTTATTGGAGGATCAGTTTATTGAGTGCAAAAACGACCTCGTCATGGAGCGTTCTAAAGGTATAGAATTTTTCTTGAATCCTGTGTCTCAATAGGTGATTTCAGTTTTGACTTTGGGTATGTGCTGCCAGGTTTTATGGGATTGATCTTTTGTTCTTGTTCAGCGATTATCAGACAAATGCTAGTATTATTGATCTGATCACAAAGATTGTATAACCAGATTTTATCCTTGCTACACGGTCACGCTGAGTGACTTAGTCGGCAATTCCTAATCTAACTCGATCTACAAAACCTATTGGGATTTTATTTTAGCTTTTAGTGTTTTAGTGACTTGATATGATTGATGAATAGATAGGTAATGTTCCGCTTATATCGTCATAAACACTATCACGTTGAACTCATTAGGGCTGTCTGTTCTTGGACTGTTGCAGTTCTGGAGCTTGAACGAGAGTTAAGAGAAGCTCAGTCATGTATATTGGAGTTGAGAACGACAATTGGCTCTCTGTTGAACTCTACATCCAATGTCACCACTGTACTACAACCATGTGAAGCTCCTCACACTGTGAAGCTGGGAATTGAAGATATCGCCGAGCCGGGATCGAGGGACATGGAAACGCTTCGGAGTTCGGAAACTCCTCCTCCCTTCAGTGTAGCAAAAGACGAGGTATGCTTCGATCCGTAATGGTCTTCGGGTACATTGATCCTGACTATCACGCTCTGTTCCGGCTGCGTTTGCGTTTCAAAAGAGGTCTTGAGTGACTATCAATGTTATTACTAACCAAATTTTAATCGATGCCTTGTGCTAGGTAACGGAGAAAAATGTGTCCGCGGTAGATTCTGGAAATGCTGAGTTGGAATTTCCAGCGGAAGGTGCTCTCCAAATCTCCCACCGGACGGAGGTTGAAGCTTGTGCTCGTCAAGCTAACTCAGGTAAGGCAGCCGTTTCTCATCCTTGTAGTGTTATCTCATATCCTTGATTTGCGTGTTGATCCGCTTTTTCCAGTTAAGGTCATGCAGATCAGCTTGATACTAGTGTAGTTATTATCTGTTAGAAAATGAGAGAATTGAAGTAAAAAATGAAATTATGTCTTGTACTGCAGGACAAGTACAACCTGGACGCAACGTTCATCTACTCCTGCACATATTGCTACAAAATCTAACTCAGATGACACCCGTCATCGACGGAGACTCCCGTCATATTACTTTCATCCACGAAGAAAGTGGTCAGTACAATGCGACCTTCCTATAAGCATCATGTTTTATCTTCCATAATGCTGTGCTTAGACCGCTTATATTAAATATTTGAAGGGTCAGCTTGTCTTACTCTCAGATCTTGAACAGTCGAATAGCACAGTTCCTCTCAGCGCATCCTTTTTGATCTTGGTCTGTGATACACTTTCACCGGGCTGCCACATTTTCCCTGATGCTATGTTTGGAAGTCGTACATCTGTTGATATTGTGCGCTCGAACGATGTAAAATGAACCTTGACTAAAGTCATTCGAAATATAAAATGTGGGTGTCATATTCGGCCTTTGCAGGTTTCTCATTTAAGCTGGAGCAGAACAACCTTTCCAAGGCAGTAGGAGGGAATGATGCCCTTCTGTACCGAGTAATGGTACCAGGGACTCTTATACATTTGGCCCCTGAATGGATGAAGTCGGAAATTGTATTTGACGTTATACAAGCACATGTTTTTTTTCAGCGGATACTGACTATTGCACATGGGTTTCACTCAAATTGAGTGGCGACCATGACAATCTGTACCATAATTTCAATGTCCATAATAAATTGGAGCCCACCCTGACAATGAAGGTGCTCATCTTTTCATCTATGAGTCTCGGTAGCTTTTTATTCCACGCGGCGTTCATTCTCGACTATTGTACCTAGACACAATTTACTCCCCTAGTTTCATTCATGAAGTATTACTTGTCCTCCCAAATCGTTTTTGAATGTATTGCTTTGGATAGGATACGCTCCGTCTTACTTGTTTTCATCCATGTGTGGATCGATTGAAACTTTCTTTACTTCTTGCTATATATCTTTTACACATAGATAATATGTATTTTTGTGCTAAAAAAAGACATTAAAAAATTATGAAACTTTAGTGATAACTGCGGTGTCAAGGGGGTTTCATATAACTGGATACAAGGAATAAATAAAAATAATTTAAAAAACTTGCGCTTGCACATCATACTAGACAATACAATCAAGCAATAGAAATTGACTATGAGACTGACGACAAAGCGAGGAAGGTCGAAAACGTCTCACATTATTAAGAAGATAGTAAGTAGCTAACATCTAGCCAAAATTCCTTGTACCCAAATACAATTTTGTCTAAAGCCTCGTTACATTGAATGGATTATTGGTGGTTTTGATGTGATGCAAAGTAAGCCTCGGCAAGGTAAAGTAACCCTATAGGGTTACCCTGTAAAAATGTAAAAGGTAAAGGTAAAGGTAATACATTTGGCTATAGGGTAAAGTAAAGCCTCGCGTAGGGTAAAGGTAGAGCCTCGCGGGTTACAAGGTAATTACCGGTGAACCAGTGAAAAAAAAATGTGGACATTCTTCTGCATATTCTCCCTGATTAACCTTGAACAAACCTACAACCAGATTCAACAATATTGTGCGATGAAGTCAGGGAATTGATTCAACTCTTTCAGACTATATTGTGGTCTGCAAAGCTAAATTTGCAAGACGCATGATGTTACTAGTTTGAGTAGAAAAGCCATCACTTGCTGCAGTTTTGTAATCTGACAACGAGTTCTTTTAATAGAAGTTATAATAGCGTTGGCTCTAGTAGTTGTTCGGCTCAGTTATAATGCATAGATCTTCTGCCTATTTTTTTATTCTAATTAGATCTGAAATTAAAAACACTGAAGAAGATATGCCTCTTGTCAACGTTAAGAGTCAGCATGGCTGGGGTTTGACTTGAATCGTATGGTCCTGTGAAGGAGACTTCAACTTTATCTCCATCCGAGTGAACCAGTTGAAAATGGGTTCCACTTGGATTGAAAATTTTTGGTTAAAATGAGATAATTTAGTATCTAAAATGGAGGAAAGCCGCTTCTAATGGCTACGGAGTTCAGTCCTTCATTTATATTGCATATAACAAAATAATTCATGTTTCTCATGATTGCAGTATTCTCTCTCCTCTATCTTTGATTTAGACACACTCTCTCAAGCACTAATGCTAAATAGGAAGTGAATAAGAAACTTAGAAGTAATAAGTATCTGATCCATCGGCAACATCTCAATTCATGTCCCGGTACGTACAAAGGAAGCGGTTATTCATCGACAACGAGGCAGTAGACGTCTGATAGTGTTACGATAGAAGATCAACAAGTAGCTAAAAAAATGCATTCAAAGAAAACCAGAAACTGCATACCCCCAGGAGAATCTTTATATGATGCGTCCAAAACTAAAACTTTTTAAATTCGTACCAGGTAACCGGGTAATTACCCTGAGGTAGAGGTAAAGGGTAAAGGTAGACAATAGTGTTACGTGTAAGGTAAAAGGTAGGGTAAAGGTAGAGGCCCATACCTTAAACCGTTACCTTTTACCTTACCTTGCCGAGGCTTAATGCAAAGTCAACAGGCGATAATGGTGTTTCTGGACAAGATTCCAATTTGAACAATGAACTAAAAGTCTAATACACATAAACGGGGGACGAATTAGAGCATTCAAAGTAATCATGAATCCCATTCTACGTTGTAAGATCAAGCTCGTTGAGGATTGTGATGCCAAAAAGATCAGCAGTCGCAAACCGTGGATTTTGTTCAAACAACTCGATTTAAAATTGCGAGCCGGAGTGTGGAGAGATCTTTGGACACAAGAGAAGAAACATCATCGATTGAAATTTACTTGTGACCGCTAAGATCTTCACGGTCAGAAGCAAGTAAAGCGTGACTTAATGATCAAACTCCTGTTTGCAGAACTGAAGAGCAGGTTTAATTTGTTTGAATGGACCTGACTTGACGGAAAGTGGCAACGTTCTTGTGACTTAGTGGAAAGTAGAGAATTGTATTCTTGACTTTGCTGAAGCAGGAGCAAAATGTTTGGAAATTAGAATTTGAATCCTATATTCTAGGTTTTTTTTGTCCCACGTACTATATCCTAGAGTTTTATTCCAAATCCTAGAGCTTTATCCTTGATGCTTGGTTTTTTCTAATGATTGAAAGAAAATAACAATTTATACAAACGACATAAGGGACTAACTCAAATCTTCAACGGAAGAGATGATTATCATGAAATGTGAAAGAGTTAGATATGAGATTGTCAAATACAATAGACTTGGTGTTTATTTGCTCTAGGAGAAACAAATCAAAGAAAACTAAAACTATGGGTTTGATGAAGATGCGGAGACCTAAATGTTAAGGCTATATTTTTCTTTTATTTTTTATTTGTAATTGTTTTTGGTGTGTTTCATTTCAATTTCTGCTGTGTTAATTGGAAGTAAAAGTATGATTAACTATTTTCTTAGCGCTAGATATCTTTTATTATTACCTTCTATGAATCATCAGGGTTGATCTTGCATGTTAATACTTTATATTAGTTGATTTGTTCATGTATAATCCAAGTGTGAAGTAAATCTAAATGCAGGATATAATTCAAGTTAACATGACCCAATTGCAGTCATAAATCAAGTCAGTATATAGAATATGGATTTGTATAATTGGTTTTTTTGCAGACTTTGCAGTTGAATACCGTATAATACCAATGTGTTTTGCAGCATTCAGAATCATATGAATTTATTCGGAGACATTTACTTGCTCCGGTTGCTACTAGCAACAAACTATAGATTAATCTTACGATCTTTCAAGATGATTATAACTTGACTTTGAACCTGTACGCTTCTTACAGCGAGCATAATGATCGTGCATGATACCGGTTGTTGTCGCAATCACTTGTTTGTTGCGAGAAAATTATTGCAGTATATTAAGCTAGCATCACCTTCAATGTAACAAGCTGCAACCTTCTTCCATATAACATCTTTTGGCTTTCCCATTTCAAAAAGAGTACATGATAAATCTGAAATCTCACACTTGAAGCAAGCACTTGTGCAGACAACACTTGTGCAACTCGTACAGATTCCACTGCATGATTTTTTCATACAATTATACAAGGTATGATTTGGAATTAATCTATAATACGGTGGTTAATATCACGTTATTGCATGTACATTATGTACATTATTGCAATTATACATACACACCTATAATATAGAGTTTTGACTAGATTACTAACATAGTATATTATCCTTTGAAGTTCTTTATAAGCATCGGAGGGTGGGAGGTCAAGATGACCAAAACTTAGGGAAAGAAGAACGAGAATCAAAAGTATAAAGATCATCACATTGGATTTTTTTGGAAATTTGATTTACCTGGGCATCAAAAAAACCACCAAAAGTGTGATAGCTTGTATAGACTCATTGAAAAGTAGTGGAGTTAGGTTCAAAGTTCAATTGATGTGAAAGAACAAGATTAGGGATGACTGCCATCATTTTATATTTGAGTATTGCTGTGTGGCCACAACTTTGAATTCTAGATTCCAAAAATCCATGGATAGTTTAAAGGTATAAAAATAACACTAGAGATGACTTAGAGCCTAGCTGATGATATTTATTTTCGGTGTAATGAGTTGCATTGATGGAAAACCTAGTGAGCAAATTTCTACAACATGAAATGAACAATTTGAAAATTCCAGGTTGCAATTGGGTTTAATCAGCAAATGCAATTTGAGCTCTATTTCATTGCATTACTTCAATGATTGTAAAAGTCACTAATTGAGTATTCTAAGTATTGATGATATCAATCACGAGCTGCTAGAATAAAAGGGAATTCAAGAGTCAACAAGGTGAGATTTGCTTTTCAAAAATGTAAGAAAGGTAATTTGAAAATTCCATGTTGCAATTGGGCTTGATCTGCAAATGCAACTTGGGCTCTATTTCATTGCATTTCCTACAATAATTGTAAAATTTATTAGCTGCTAGAATAAAAGGGGATCTAAGAGTCAAAAAGTTAAGATTTGCTTTTCAAAAATGGAATAAACGTAATATGAGTTAATGGATATGATCTTAACATGAATTGGGTATAATCAAAAGTATTTAATAATTACTTTTCAACATCATTTTGCTTCTAAAATAGATCTAGAGTATACTTGATATGCCAAGATAATTATTGTAAGCCTAGTTTCTAAGATAAATTTTTTTGGTTAAGTTAAGTTGATCACGTTAGTTTATCATTATGTAACTTAAATTTTAATCAAAGCTTATTCATTTGCTCAAATAGGTTGAAAATAGTTGCATGATATGTCATTAGAAAAACAAAGTCCAGTTGTCTCAGCTGATGAGATAGTATTAGTGAGACGAAGCTACAGCTAGTTGACATCAAGCGTCATAGCAGGTTGGAAGACCATCGTGCTCTACTTCAATGTTTATCTAACTGATTTCTACTTGCTTGAGAAGTAGAAAATCTTTTCTTCATAATAAAGTGATTTGGTTAGATCATTAGCTAGATAATTTACTTTTAGCCTAACTCGAGCTTTCAACATAGTTGTGTAATCAACACAAAGTATTGCTAATGCAAGTGGTTGATCTCAAGCATTGATTAGCAAGCTTAATCTTTAGGATTTTTTAATAATATTGAAGCTAGATTCTAGTATGAAAAAAGCATTTTATCTTGTGTCATTTTATCGCAAACCTAATGTCTTGAAACTATCAACTATGATAAACCAATGATTGACTTGAGTTTCTGAGTTGCTTAAATTTGTAATGAATATGTATCACTCTCGTTTTCATTTAACCATACCTTTGATGAAATTTTGA